AATTAATTGATTAACCACCAACCTGGAGACATTAATTTGTCACTGGCATGTGCTTTACTACATGCATCACGTTATCTGTTGAGTAATTTAGCACTTAAGAGCACTTGTGATTTGCTTCATTTGCCCACAGTTGTTTCTCAGCTCGGAAAAAAACAAAAAACCTGTGCAAATCACATTCTCCCCCTTTTATTACTGGGCTTGTGGCTTGTTTCATTTCGAGATGAATTAGCTTGCTTCCAAACAGAACTGTCTGTGTGGATAGTAATTGATTATTTGGAGTGGGTGGGAGTAGAGGAAGGGGGCCCGGTGGAAAAATAATTTGTTGCTAACTGCTTTAGTGTTGCACAGAGTATAATCTCTGACAATGAGTTAGCATGTCATATATTAGCATACAGCTAAAGCTCTGGGGGCTGAAAATCAGCCTTTCCCTGTTAGCACATCGTGTACGTTTTGGGATGACTGCGTGAGAGTGTGTTATCTAAAACATTGTAATAAATATTGTTATATATAATAAATAATAGATACTGTAAATGGGTTTGTTCAAATGTTTGGTTAAAGAAATTAATGTTTTCATTAAATATATTTCTTTTTTTCTGCATGAAAAGGTCAAATAGTTCAGTTTGTCCGTTGTGGTACATGTGAAATGAAAATGTTTATTGATATTGTTATAGTGTACGATTGTAAGCAGGAAAAACACAAGTAATTTTTTCCTCATTAATATCATATTGCGTACCATAGAGACTTAATATGCAGAAACAAATGTAAAAACAGAAACGACAGTAAATCAGGCATTCATTTCCCCCTATTAAAATGTTAATTTTAATATTTTTAAATATTAAAAAAAATAATATTTTATTTTGTATATTGTTTTATATTTATTTATTTGTTTTTGTTTTTTTTTTAGATTTATTGTATTATATTTTATTTTTCAATGTGCAAAGGCAACTGTAAGGTCATTTATAGGTATTTTTCCAACACAAACCTTCCTTGCTGTGTCGCTCTTTTTTTTAATGCTGTATTTGAATGCTCATTTTATTGATTTATTTTAATGCTGAAGTGTTTTGTATTTTATTTTTGTTTAATGTGCAGAGACAACTACAAGTATTCAAGTACTTTCAAGTCAGTCATTCATAGTTTTCCCCTTAAATATTCCCGGCTGTTTTTTTGAATGTTTCTTTGCTTTATTTCAATGCTGAAGTGCATGTTTTTTTTCTTGGGTGCTCTTACATCTAACGTTCCTTTCATTTCTTCTCTTATTCCGTTCAGATTTCAGCATCATATTAATGTATAAACATCTGATAAACATTTTTTAAAACATGTGAAATCATAAATGTCTCGGAGCATCTGCTGCATGACGTTCTAACATCAGACAGGGAATGCCTCGGCGCTGTATTGCGGATGAGCATCAATGTTCTAAAAATTAAATTTTCCAGATAAAATCGACACATTGGTCAAAGATGTGGCCTGGTGTGTAGCGTATCTGGCTCGGATTGTTTCCCGATCCCATCCGCCATATCTGCCATGATAAACTTAAACCGATAAAGTCTGTTCCCACTGTAATAAAACATGACTGAAGTGGTGAGGAGATTGTGAGCTAATGTGCTGGAGGCTGTACCGCGCTCTGTCTGATCTTTTTGTTACAGCTCCTGCATTCTGCTGTTGTTTAAAAATAGTGTTTGACACCACTGCCAGTGTTCAAGGGTCAAAAAGAAACTCTAGTTTGTGCAAGTCTGTTTGATCCCATAAGCGGCATGTGTAGGAGGTAAACAAGTCTATTCTTGTTATACTGCATCCTTGTGTAAAGAGTACTGATTATGTACAACATTTTAGTGTATGGAGTTGAAGACTTTATGTTGGGCTATCTAACTTTCTGAATTTCCACATGCAAAAAAGCGTGTTTATTTTGTTTCCCTGTTAGAAACCATTTGCTTGAAAGCTTAATTACGTTTTTTTGTTGTTCACTAAACTACCCATGATCTCTCTGGGTTTCAAAGGCAATTATTGATGAGTAAACATCTCGTAATTAATCATCTATTCGCTAAAGGCCTCTGGGAGTGATGAACCATGACAAATCAATAGGATTTTCATCCCTGCTGTCCTTCTGTTTGCACTATATGGATAGTAAATAGTTTAATGGAATGATACCATTGAAAAACACTTGCGAACAAATCCTGTCTCAACCATCTGGAAGAACAGATCATACCAGCTTAATCTCCTCAAAAAGATTTCGCCTGTGGCTGATGCCTTTAACGAAAGCAACATTGATTATCATTTTTTTTTATTATTGTTATTATTATTATTATTATTATAAACTACATGCAATGTAAAGGTCCTTGCACATTGAGTCCGACATTTTGACACGATAAAAAATAAATACAACCTTACGTTGTGTCAATCACGTTTACACACTGCCTCCGAAACTGTTGTCCGTCATAAAATTCTGATCAGGTTCGATTTTCTGTGTTTCTCGCATCCGTAGCATGCATTTTGAGAGGAAAGGATGATGAATACAACAAAAATGAAAAAAAAAAAACGCTCAAGACTCGGTGTGCTAGGACCATAAGTACAAAGGGGGCGGTCACACTGCACCTTTCGTTCAATTGACTTCCATTTGTACACATGCAGGCCCTGCGCAATATCATTGCACCTGCTGCACCTATGGTACGGCAGCAAAGTTCCTTGATTATTACGCCGAAATGAGAGTATAGTTCCTAGCCATATCGGCCTAGAAAATCGCAACTTTTCATTTTCCGTCGGTCTTAGTACACGATGTAACTACAGAAGAGTCAAGTTTTAAATAGGAAAAATCTAGAAAATCTTTGGTCATTTTTGAGCGAGATGCTAACGGTCTAATCAGATTCAATGAGCTATGCTAAGCTACAGCTAAAAGTGCTACCGCCAGACCCGGAGATCGGCTGAATGGATTCGAAAACGGTAAAACTCAACTGTTTAACTCTAGGGGAGTTGGAAAATGAGCCTATTTTCAAAAATAGTGGAGTGTTCCTTTAAGAGATTTAGTCAGTGTATCTTAAAGTGCATAAACTCGTGCCTAGACTGAAGTCAGTGATGATGTTCTTTGATAATGTACATTTTCTTTGCTCGTTTTCTGTAGCTGCTGTTTGAATAACGTAGTGTTTGTATTAAATGATCATGTTAAATACAAATTCAGTCATATTAAAAATATTTTAGTACATTCATATACTACTTGACAAAAATGATGTAATGTGTAGTTAATAAATGACACTAACATTAAGCTACCTTTAGCCTTGCCCTGGAGTTGGTTCACTCGCCAGCTATAAAACAAGCAAGTAAATAATTCAATAAATTAGCATGATAATATCGTGTATTGGCGATTTCACAGGCTAACGATAGGACAATATGACTGTGGAGCAAATCGCCCAACACGTTGTGAACTAAAGTTAACTATCAAGATTCTGTGTCTCCATAATGACAGTTGATGACCTAAAGGAGAAAAATGACCATAGAAGACAGTTTATGCTAATGCTGACGAACCCTACGGCACTGAGAACACAATTAATGCATTCTGACACGTTTGAACACAGTGATGCATGAAATCAAATTTGCATCGCTAGAAGCATTCACATACTTGCAGAGAAGACTTTTTAAGGCTAGTATATAGTGAATAAAAGCAGTAGTGGATGATCTTACAATCTTGATCTTGATGGTCTGACTCAAAAAAGACCCCTGCTTTACTCGATAATGGTAAAGTCATGTTTAAGGTCCTCACATGGATAATAGAAATAATCAAGGTGAATGTTCGGTTAAGGTGAGTGGCATGGGGCAATTACATGTGCTAAGGTTATCGACGGCCCAATTACAAAAGGTTCTAAAGCGCCAGAGCATTCCCAATCTGACTGTATTGAATGAAGTGTGAAAATCAATAGTTCTCCCACTGCACCCTTAAAGAAGTTCTGCACCTCGGCTTCACACCGAAATGTAGTTTACAGGCATTTCAGCCTTTATTTTCTAAATCACCTGCTTATTTACTTAGGGGTTTGGCATTTGCATGGCCAGGAGCTGGCCAATTTCATGCCTCTTGAACTCCAAGACCGATGCCATTGATTATTGTTTGCTGCAGAGCAGGAACAATCTCTGATTGGTTTGTCGGTTCCTTTCCTCTCCAGTGTGTTGTTTGAGAGGTAGAGGGGTACGTAAGTGTGTGTATGAGGTCATTATGTTCTTTCTACCCCAACATTAAATGACCCTCTCAAATAACAATCATTGTTTGTCAGGCTGAGAGTGCTGCTCTCTACGGAAACAACCTCAAAAACTGCCCTTTTAATAATTCTCTCTGTATTATTTGTTTCTTTTGCTTTTCTTCCCACATTCACTGCACTCTCAAGACCTTTCCAATCGCCTTTTCTGTTCAAATTAATTTATACTAATTTCATTGTTTTTTATGTCCTTATTACTTTGGTCTGTCCATCTCATCCACCTTGTGTCCTACATCAATCTCCCCCATACCTATTGAATAAGATGATTGAATAATTAAATTAAATTAAATTGTGATTAATGACACTGTTTTGTATTCTGTAGAGCTGCTTTACAGTTGAAAATGAATTGTAATTATAACTAAAATTATTTTATTCCTGTTTGAATTTTGTGTCACTGATGCTGGTTTTCCTGTTTATTACTTCTGTATAAAGCTGTTTTAAGCTGTCTGTATTGTATAAAATGCTCTATAAATAAACTTGACCTATTCCCATCCATCCATTTATTTATTTAGTTAGTTAGTTCTTGGCAATTTTACTCTGACTTAAATCATATTAAACACCTTAATGCACAAAAACTTATCATAATGTTTTTCTTATCATATTTTGTCAGCAATATATTTTATATAACAACATATTTTGTTTAACCATGGTCTGTATCACCATGATGTGTTTTTCTTTTTAATTATGGTTGATTGAAAATATACAGTTCGTCAATGTAAACATTTTCCATTTGTGACTAACACTGGCTCTGTCTTTCTTTCTCAGCTGGTTGGTGGAGAGTTCGACCTGGAGATGAACTTTATCATCCAGGACGCGGAAAGCATCGCCTGCATGGTGGAGCTGCTGGAGCACTGTGACGTCACCTGCCAGGCGGAGATCTGGAGCATGTTCACAGCTATCCTGCGGAAGAGTGTTCGCAACCTACAGACCAGCACCGAGGTGGGGCTCATCCAGCAGGTGCTGCAGAAGATGAGCTCCGTCGACGACATGATTGCAGGTGAGCTCTAAAGTAAAGCGTCGCAAGATGCTTTCACCGGATCCGTGTTTGTTGACTAGTCAAATAACAATAAATTGCAAATTCAAATAAACTGTTATAAACAAAAAGAATATCTGCCCAGGGCCCTCAACAGGTAGGATAACCAGGAACCAGGAACATTGTCCTGGGAACAGTGAATAGTGAAAAAATATTGTTATAATTATTGTTATTATTATTATTATATTTTTGTATTAGCAGTAGTATTTTTAATAATAATAATAATAAACATTATTTTATTATTATTAAAACATTAAATAGCACAATAATAAATAGTATACATATTACAATAATTATCAATGTAATATTATTGTTGTTATTATTATTATTATTATTAATAAACATTATTTTAATATATTATTATTAAATTGCAATAAATATCAATTTGTTGTTGTTGTTTTATTATTCATATTATTTGATTCTTATTTTTATAATAATACTACTACTAATAAAAATATATATATATTTTTAATAATAATAAATAGTTTATTATTAATAGTAGTACTATTATAAAAATAAGTTGTAAATATTACAGAATATATATATTATTATTATTATTATTATTATATTTTTTGTATGTGCTGTAGTATTTTTAATATTAACAATAATAATAAAACATTGTTATTAAATAATATTAAATATTTACAATAATAAATATTATATTATAGTATAAATTGTAAATAGTATAAATATTACAATAAACATTTTTTTCAATGTATTGTTTTTATTATTATTATTATTAATAAACTATTTAAATATTATTATTGTTATATATATATTTTTAATAATAATAAATAGTTTATTATTAATAGTAGTACTATTATAAAAATAAGTTGTAAATATTACAGAATATATATATTATTATTATTATTATTATTATATTTTTTGTATGTGCTGTAGTATTTTTAATATTAACAATAATAATAAAACATTGTTATTAAATAATATTAAATATTTACAATAATAAATATTATATTATAGTATAAATTGTAAATAGTATAAATATTACAATAAACATTTTTTTCAATGTATTGTTTTTATTATTATTATTATTAATAAACTATTTAAATATTATTATTGTTATTATATAATACAATTATTATATATTATTACTATTAATGATACACATTCTAAAACATAAAGCATATTTATAATAATAATAATAATAATAATAGCATTTTTTTAGAGTATTACAGCATATTTTGGTGGTTTTGGTTGTGTAAATACAAAATTTCTTAAACTCTGCCTTTGTCAACCAGTGTGTGGTTTATTTTCTGTCCATTTGTGCATCACAATTAATAATTATGTTTTACGTGTGCAGTGATTTTAAGTTTATTATTTTCCACAATTCTGCTTCCTGTCTTATAGTGTTTATGCCACGTCTTTGTAAATAAGCCTTTTCATGGTATACAATATATGCCTATCCTGAGGTACTTTTTGTAGCAGTGCAAAGACCCCACATTTTGTCCTGGGCCCCCTGTTTTCAAGGCACTTTGGTTCTGAACACGTCTACTGTTTACATCTGTGCTTTCAGTTCAAATAATTCTAACTAATTAGAATTAGAACTAAAAATCCAGTTCGCCAAAGAGAAAAGAATCAGTAATTTCTGTGCTAATCTTTGTTGTATCACATGCCCGTCCATATGTTCCGATCCTCTATGATTTGGCTCCGTTACATTTAAAAAAAATAGTCTAGCTAAACCCCTCATTGTGCATTCTGTGTCCAATATTTCTGTGTAATTGTGATCAGTGGACCATGGCCGTCATTTATTGCAGGGGTAATGTGTAAAATTGGCTCTGTGAGCACATTTGGGAGAAAGCTTCTCTCCTACCGCTCTTTAGACAGATCCACGTGTTAGAAAATGCCGCTGCTAATCAGACTATTAGTTCTCATACGCTTCCAGCTTCTGTCCATTTTTGACCAAATTTGTGGCCTTTGAGTGAATGGCGTATAACTGGGTTATTTTCTAAATCAAATTACAATGATATTACGCCATGACAAACATCGCTGCTGAGGGGTTGTTATTTTTCTCGAAATTAGATTATTTCATGTCTCATGCAGTGCTTTAAAGAGCTTCTAAATTCATAACGCAGATGTTTCGCAAATTACATCAGCAGACGCTTTGACACCGAGCCATTACGGCCAATATGTGAATGAATAGACTTGCGTTTCCATGCGATCTGATGACTAAAGGAGCCTCAGGAGAAAATCAAATTACAATGATATTACGCCATGACAAACATCGCTGCTGAGGGGTTGTTATTTTTCTCGAAATTAGATTATTTCATGTCTCATGCAGCGCTTTAAAGAGCTTCTAAATTCATAACGCAGATGTTTCGCAAATTACATCAGCAGACGCTTTGACACCGAGCCATTACGGCCAATATGTGAATGAATAGACTTGCGTTTCCATGCGATCTGATGACTAAAGGAGCCTCAGGAGAACATGCGGTAGATAATGTTCCTGCAGAAAGATAACGATTGGCTTCTTGCCCCAAGTGGCATCATCCTCATGAGTCGGCAGTTCTGTGCGCCGATAATGCTGAGTCATTTTGTTCTCTTCTTTCTGTCTTCCTCAGATCTCTTAGTGGACATGCTGGGGGTCTTGGCCAGCTATAGTATCACAGTTAAGGAACTGAAGCTGTTGTTCAGCATGCTGAGGGGCGACGGAGGCGTGTGGGTGAGTTTTCTTGCACCACAGACTCTTGCCCCTTTGCCACCGACTGGATGCTGTGGCTTCGGTGGTTGTTAAAAACAAGGAGCCACTTTTAATGCCAAAATATGTTTTCGAAGCTCATAAAAATCTGCAGATCATTAGCTAGACCTCCAACAAGCCCAGCCAATGATCTCCTGTCCGCCAGTCCTCCCCACGGACGCCTCTGTTTGTGGTTTGCCGTGTATCGATTTCAGCTGTGCTGCTGTGGTTGAGGCTGATGGACAGGTTATTGATTGGCTCAAGTAGTGGTTGTTTTGTTGGGTCGTTGATAATGGTTACTATTAAAATCATTTATTTTTGACTCATGAACGTATGTATCTTTTTCTCAGTTTTCAATGTCTTCTCTCATTAGAACAAGTTTCCTTTCATCCCTCTCTCTCACTAATTACAATGTCCTCTCTTAATTGTTCCCTTCCTCCATGTGTCCTGTGCCTATAGCCAAGACACGCCATTAAGCTCCTATCTGTGCTGAATCAGATGCCTCAGCGGCACGGCCCTGACACCTTCTTCAACTTCCCAGGACGCAGTGCGGCGGTGAGAGTCTCCCACACTTTTTACAATAAAACGTATACATTCCAGGCTTTATAGGTATGAGCATGAGACTCGTGTTAGAATTATAGAACACCAATAATGATAATAATCATTTTAAAAGAGAGTGTTCTAAATATTCTACATTTTTTCTGCACTTTGTCAGCTTAATATGCATTTTTTTGTATGCAAGAATTTAAGGAAATTAGTGCTTTTATTCAGCAAAGGCTGCATTCAATTGATCAAAAGTGACAGTAAAGATGTTTATAATGTTACAAAAGATTTCTATTTCAAATAAATGCTGTTCTTTTGAACTTTCTATTCATAATAGAATCCTGAAAAAAATCTATCACAGTTTTCACAAAAATATTAAGCAGCACTCCTGATTTCAACATTAATAATAATAAGAAATGTTTCTTAAGCACCAAATTAGCATATAAGAGTGATTTGTGAAGGATCATGTGACACTAAATACATGAGTAATAATGCTGAAAATTCAGCTTGGCTGTCGTATGAATAAATTACATTTTAGAATATATTAAAATAGAAAGCTATTTTGATCAAATAAATGCAGTCTTGCTTTTTCGAATACATTAAAAGATCCTAGCAGGCTTTTAAAAAGTAGTGTATCTAAATTATATATTTATGTATACTATATATATATATATATATACAGTGCTGTGAAAAGGTTTTTGCCCCCTTTCTGTTTTTTTAAATTCTTTGCATATTTGTCAAACTTAAAAGATTCAGATCATCAAACAAATTTTAATATTACACAAAGATAATGCAAGTAAATGCAAAATGCAGTTTTTAAATGATTATTTATTTTATTAATGGGGGTTCTATTTAAGTGATTTGTTGATTCAACAGGTCTGGCAGCAATCAGGCCTGTGTGTGGCTAGTGAAATTTAACTCAGCTTTCTAAAATAATGTGGTTAATTGCAATTCTTTCATGATTTAACAGGAGGGGGCAATTAATTTTTCACGTAGGGCCA